AGGTGGTCATGGTCGCTGGGAGCAGGGGGCATGTGCTCAGTGCTACATGGCTATGCAGTGGCTACTGCAGCGGCTTCAGCTGCCCACTGCGTCCCCTGACGTCACACAGCTGGAGGTTAGGGGTAGGCTTATTCTTCAGGACTAAAGGTTTATTATGTGCTCAAGCGTTAGCAGGCACAGGGATCACCTGGAGGGCTTGTTAACACACAGATGGCTGGACCCTGCCGGAGTTTCTGACACGGCAGGGGAGAGGGAGGTGGGCTGGGTTTGGATGTAGAACTTGCATTTCTATTTTTTTTTTTCCTTTTTGTCTTTTTTACTGACTGGCAATGGGATCGCAACCCTTGGTGTTGCGCCCGCTCCGTGCTCAGCCAGTGAGCGGGAACCGGTCTCCACATGGGATCCGAACCCTCGGCAGGAGCGCCGCTGCGCTCCCAAGTGGCGCACTCTCCAGTGCGCCACCGGGCCAGCCCCAGAACTTGCATTTCTAACCAGTTCCCAGGTGATTTGATGCTGCTGCTGCCAGGCCAGGGACGCACTTTGACCACATGTCCTTAGGGCCGCCTCTTGTGTAAATTGTGGACTAACGGAGCCATAGGGGACTGTGCACACAGCAGGTATACCAGCTGCCCTGCCACCAAAGACCCTGGGGGCCTGTGACTTTAGCACTGTTGTCTGCTGCCCATCCCTTGCCCCAGTTGACTGTGGGTCAGAATTACGTGGAGCAGTTTCTGAAACTTCCCTTCAGACTCAACGCAGTGTGTTGAAAATGCAGATTCCCAGGCTTCCTTCCCCTTAAACCCAAATTCTGGGAGGAGGCCTGGGAGTCCGCCTGTCTCACAGTCACTCCCTGCTGAACTCAGGGAAGTGGGATGGCAGGCTCCAAGGCCAAGGACAGCTGCTGCCGCTGCATACCTTCAGCTTCATGTAAGCTCACAGCCGTGTGGGTCTGGGAAGCACGCTTCCAAACGCGGTCTGTGGCTGCGAGACTCCTGGTCTCGACCTTCGTTTGCTTGGCCTTTGGATGGAAAGGAGGGGGCTGCCCAGTTCTCACTGGCAGGGAGCGGCTGTGGGAGAAAACCCACCATCACTGGGGTCAGGAGCCATGTCGTGGAATCTGGTCACAAGCAGCAGAAGCTGATTCGCTCCACAAGAGACCGTGTTGGGGGGCTCTGGGGAACTCAGCCGCAAGTGGAAGAGTTTAACTGGGGGGCCTGGGAAGGAAGGGCCCAGGGCAGCTCTGCGCCCAGGTGAGGACTCAGCCTTCAGGACAACTTGCTCCAGCCACCTGTGGGCCCCCGGGGACAGCATCTGGTTCCTCTGAGCCTCGGTTTTCTCCTTGGTAAAGAGGATCATCATCTTGGTGGTACTTCATGGGATTCTCATGAGAATTAAAGCCGATGCCCATGTCACATGCTCTCTAAGCTATGGAGCCTTTTATAAATGTCAGGTCCTCTCTATCTGAAAGCCAGAGGTTCCTAGATCTTGGTTCTCCTGGTCCCAGTCAAGGGAATTAAGGTGACCAAGATTAAGTCTGAATTATGTCTTCCTTTTCCACAACCCTGAGGAGATCCAGCCAGGAGGAACCCCCCTCATCCAGCCTCCTAACCCCCCGCCTTGCACAAGTGACTTTGGAAGGGGACAGGGAGAGGGAGTAGAGGGAGTGTCTGTCATCCAGGGAAGATTCTGGCCCAGCGACAGTTCCCAGGGCACCTGATTGGGTTCTCTTGTGTGCAAATGGGCTTAGCCATGGGGTTGTGTGGCAAACCCTGGCTCTCCACCTGCAGTGGACCTTGGCAAGACTTAGTTTCCTCATCTGTGAAGTGAGCTCTTAGTTTCTAACCCCAGGACTGTCTGGCGCTCAGCAGGTGCAGTGCTCTGAACAGTGCTGGCCCAGAGAGAGCTCTGGTGGCTTTGCTGCTACTCCTGGCCTGTCCCGCCTCTTAGGTCCATGCACAGACATAAGCTGACCTCTGCCTGGTGCTGTGATCTCCTCCTTGAAGCTTCAAGGCCGTCTGCTCCTCCTGCTATCTGGGTTCTGGGGTTTGGAGAGCACGTTTAGGTCTATTTTTGTGCCCATCCTGGGCAGGGAAGACTGCAGGTGGGCAAAGCCAGGATGGCTTGCCTTCTAGGGGCACCAGAACAGGGTGTGGATGGCCAGTGAGTTATCTCTATGCAGTCCTGTTAACCTGGTCATTCCCTGACCTCTGCCCCTGCGCCCCCTTTGTCCCTCCACTGACAGGGCCCAGGGCATGCAGGGCTGCCTGGCTGTCTTGCCCCATGGACACGGGCAGGGCTGCGGCTCTACCTTTGATTCCTGGACATGTGCTGCATCTTTGAGCAGAGGCAGCAGCAGCAGCAGCAGCGTGAGGAGAGTGGAACAGAGGCCCCCTAGGAGCCTCAGCTGCCTGCACCTGACCACCCCTGCACATTGTTGGATTGTCTGCGACTTCTCTTGTCTGAAACTAAAGCATCCGGATGTCCAGTTGACGTCTGGCCTGGTAAGTAGCAGCACCGAGGATAGCCCTGTGAGGTCAGTCCCAGATCTGAGGAGCTACTTGCTCCCCTGGGGTGTGTCTGGGGGGGTGACTCAAGCACACGCTCACACTCACGGAATGCCACAGCCTGCTTGTGAAGGGTCCTGAGAAGGCGGGCTGCTGTTCCCACCAGCCAAGGAGTCCCACAAACGTTCACTATTGCTGTGAATGCGCCAGTCCCGCGGGCAGAGGGTGCTTTCTAATGCTCACTGCACCCCAGACTCATCTTCTGGGACACCAGAGGCTGCTCAGGGGTCTCCCCTCGGACTGTCTGTAATCAGAGCGCGACAGGTTTGAGACAGGAACGAGACTGATGTATTTCTTACATCATTTTTCTTTTAAAAGAAAAGCAGGCGTGTTGCCACTCCTTTAACTTGTGAAAAATGGAAATAGCGTTTCTGTGATGAGTGGCCTCCATCACTAACAGTGGATATTTTGTATATTTTTAACAAAATGTGGAAATGATGGATACTGCCGGTTTCGGTGAGCATTACCAACGAGTGCCACTGGGGGGCGACACAGCACAGGGAGGTCGGCCCGACCCTGTCCGTCCAATGTCTTTTCTCCTTTCCATGAATATTCTCAAACATGTTTTGTATTTTAATTAAATGAAAATACTGAAAGTGATGTAGCAGAGAGTACCTTTAATGGAAAATTAATTGATAACACAATCTTATTTCAATTTTCTTTTTATTTTTTAACTTAAACGACTGTGTATAATACACAGTCTTGTGAGAAAGGCTCCAGAATCATGTCTGGGTCTTCTCAACATTTCATATTTCGAATCGTTTTTTTTTTTACGTTGTGCATTGATATGGGCTTCTCAGTTCAGAAAACAAGGCACTATAACTATTTATCAGCTACATTAATACATTGAAGATATATTTATCCTTTCATTAAATATACAGCATTTGAATACAATATGGTTTTATGCAGATCAGGTTCAAAACACCCAAGGCACACACTTTATTTTTTTCCTTTTTTTTTTCTTTTCTGTATTTATTTGAAGGCTCACATTAAAGTTTCAGAATTGCTATGAACAAAGAGTTCCAGAGCAGAAGCAAGGAACAGTGATTGTTGTAATTTTAAACATAAAATGGTAAAGACTCTGAAATGTAGAAACATGTTACAGGAACAGGAAGGAAACAAAATTGCTGATACAGCATGGATTAAAAACTGAAGCGATCAATCTGCTGAAGTTTGAGAAACATGATTGGAAATGATCGAGTTCCCCACAAAGCACAGGCGGTCTCGCTGCGTGCGGCTGCTGTGGTCAGCCAGCCACTGCAGACACGTCTGTCACTTGCACACGTGTGTACGTGGATATCTACAAACACAGGGATACAGTCCGGCTCACCGGTTCTTAAAATGCCTTAAATAAAGTTCAAGTAAAAGAAAATAATAATAATAATAGAAAATAAAATAATAATAATAGAAAAGAAAATAATAATAATAACTGTCCAATAATTTTTTTCCTAACAAGACAAACTAATGTATTCATCTAGGAAAAGAGGTCTGGAGTAGGGATACAGTCCGGCTCACCGGTTCTTAAAATGCCTTAAATAAAGTTCAAGTAAAAGAAAAAAGTCTTCCAATAATTTTTTTCCTAACAAGACAAACTAATGTATTCATCTAGGAAAAGAGGTCTGCAGCGAACCATTGGACAGTGAAGTGGGCGGGGGGAAAGGGGGCCCTAAGGTTTGGGAGAAACTATTGAATGGTGAACTACAAAAGATATGAGGACTCAAGCTTTTCATGAACATGGAAACACAGTGGCTGCTCTTCCAACGGAGAATGGGCCAAACAGGAGACACCATTCAGGAACTAAAGACAAGTTTTCACTGATGAGGCCAAAGAAGAGGTTCAATGTTTAAGTTTAAAGTATGCTTCCCTAAAGCGGAAGGGATAGCCCATGTCTTCCTGGCTCAATTCTTTGCCAAGACACATTCTCTCTTGCTCCAAGCCTTAGTATGTTGCTTGCTTATCAAAACATTGTTAGGTTTATGTCAACCAGAGAGGCTGCCCGGTTCTGCAGCTCCCGTGGCCTTACAGCTCGAAGACCACCAGCTGGGGATGTCGGGGAGACTCGTATGCTGAGGAGAGAGATCCGAATCTGGCTTTTCCTCTGTGGCACCCCTGCTGCCACCCCAAAACAAACAGGAAAGCCAAGCCTCAGCTCCACGCTTACAGGAGTGTTCACAAAATCCGATTTTGGCATTTTACACAGCTCTGAAATAATATACTTGTTTCCATTGACACATTGAGAATACCTTAAGGAAATGCAATTAAGGCAAATCAGCTCAATGCTGCAAGCATTTTTACTATTTGATGGAAGATATCGTCTGGTCACTTTTATGGAGGTAAAGCTGATGATGTTTCAAATAATCTATCAGATTGCAAGTCTGGCAACTTTTTGTTTGTTTAATTCAGACAGTTTTCATTGTTTGCAATCAGAACCACAACCTTAGTGCAATAGTATATTTATTTTTTTACAGTAATTTTGGTTGCCATACAAGAGATTTAAGGATTGGGAGAAAGTGCAAATTACAGGAGCTTGTTTTTTTCTTTTCTTTTTTTAATAAAAGTCTAAAAAGAATAAAAGCACAAAAGTTACAGCAACATAGATAATGCAAACACATGTTGTTGTTACACAAACTTAGTGTGAAACATATTAGTATTTTAAAAAACAAAAAAAAATCGTTAATGGGAAAATCAATATTTGTGGCCCACACACAAAAAGTCATTGCCAGATCAACTGGGTAATGCTTAGTTGTTCAATAACTCAGAAAAAAGAAGTCACCATTTTATTAACTAAAGTACCACAAATAATTCACTTTGTGATATGTAAAATTCAGCAAACCAACAGTCACACTGAGTCATTTTTGTATTATGTGAATTAACTTAAAATGTGCACAGACACCCTGGGGAAGGTATCTTGGCAGGTGTACATAATTTACATCTTGAGAAATTTTGGTTTTGTATACACAATATTACAGAAACTAGGCATGTAAATGCAGTTTATTTAAATTACAGTATATAACAAAAGTTGATCTTAAAACCTGGAATAATATTAACATGATCTTCATATGAGCAGTTTAACATTTGTTCCACCATTAAAGAGGGTCATGGAATAGGGCCTGGTCCTAACACGTCCCAAAGGGGAGAACAGTGGGCGGCGGTTTGGATGAGGAACTATTGCTTTCTGTAGCAAAACGGTCACATAGAGCTGGAGACCGATTCACCTCGGCAACGTGGGTCTAATTGGTTGGTCAGTGCAGGTTCTGATGGGTCCTATTACTTTTCCATAATAAGACAATGTGAAAACAAACTCTTATCAGCTCTTGAGTCTTCCCGTCAGCTTGCCTCTGGTTTGTGGCACATGGCTTGCAGTCTCTTTTAGGAAGGGAGCAAGAGGCGGCTGTCACCCACTCCGTGGGTCCAGAGCCACCAGGCTGTGACGGGTTACCGTCTACAGCGGTTTCTTTACTCTCCTTTCATCTAGCGTTTTGCCTGGCACTGAGCATAGAGGTAACAAAAACTGTAGGCAAAGGAAAAGAGAGCCATGAAGTGTATACTTAATGAATTTTGCAATATCACCAAATGGAAGACGGATTAATGGCCCAACCACCATTTTTTCCTTTTCTGTCATACGGGGCGGCCTCAGCAGGCCACCTATAGTATCCTGGCTTGAAATTTCTCTCGAGTAATATTCACTCATCTCACGATGGAAAAAATTGAAAGTACATGAAGCACAACGCCTTAATATCCAATTAATTTCAAGCTGGATAGAATAATTCAAATATCAAGATGGACCTGCAGAAGGTTTTGGGACAGAATAAGGTCCGAAGACTCAGCTTCCCAATCGGGGCTTGGGGGGAAAGGGGTGTGTGTGATGTGTGTGTTTGGTTTTTGTTTTTGGAGAAACTGCTGCATTGTGAATTGTAACCACTTTTGAAGAAATAATTGTCCTTCAATTACGAAGTTCTAGCAAAGATAGAAAATATAACACAGCTCTGCTGGTTCAGATGCATCCAAATAAGGTTGATTTAAAAAGGTCATACTTTTATAATTATTCCACAGAAATAGTATTATTAAATCACAAAAGTTTTTTTTTTCTTTAACTTTCTAGCACTGAAGTGGCACAAAGGCTGCCTAGTAGACCAGCCACTTTTTTTTTTCTTAAAATATTGTGCTTATAAACTATCTGTACAACTATTTAAACTTGCAGTAAAGAAAGAGATTTTAGATTGCTAAATTTTATGTGTTCACTCTAGAGCTGTTCCAGACCTAATCAGACCCTTGGTCGTGAGCATAAAGAAAAAAATGAAAAAAAAAAAGTCATGTTTTATAATTAGAGATGGGCTGGGCTAGTTCTGAAATCACAATAAAACGAAAAACCTGACAGTATCCTCCAAGTGTGGGAGAATGTGCTGGAAGCCTGACTGGACGTTTTGCAGCCCATGTGCAATGGGCGACCTCCCCTGGACATTAGAGGGATCGTTACAGGGGAGAGAGACTCCAGGGACAACACAGCCCTGCCAGGGAGGCCAGACCGGCAGTCCAGGAGGCCCTGCTTTGCTTTCTCCACGTATCTGCTCTTCTCCCTGAGCCTGCACCACTTCTCTTCCCAACCTCGGTGCCTGTTTACACTCCTTACCCACTGGGTCCTCAAAGAACCTGTTATACTGTTAAGACAGCTGGTGGGATTCCTGGACACCCAGAGAAAAAGGGGAAAGCCCCTAAATACCATCTTATCTGGCCTCCGAGAACAAAAGGGCTGTCTCAGCGGAGATGCTCACCCTTGGCCGGGCTAGAACTGAGGTCACTGTACCCGACACAGCTCTCAGTGAAGATACCGTTTCACCTGGTGGCAGCACGTGGACTACCGTGAGCCGTGTCCTCATGTCAAAGTGGACGCTCACCTGCTCTGATCTTTGTAAGAGCTCAGCACTCAGCAATTCAACAAGAATTTTGAGAGGCAGAGAAACCCTTTCTCTTGATTCTAGATAGATCCTCTTGGCAGACAACTGCCCTTGTCTTTAGGGAGACCTTGGACACAGGCAGCACACGCTGGCTGGTTCCCATGGCCAGGTCTCCCCTCCTCCTTGGAATCGTGACTTTGTGCTTTGACTAACTCCGTGTGACATCTGTTTGGCCACCTTGGAATTATGCTCATAGGTTTGTAGAAATAAAGAAAGCAAGCTAAGCAAAGCCGGGCACGATCCTGTTCAACTCCCCACCACTGCCAAGAACCTCATGGCCAAAGAACCACGGATGCACGTCCCAGGAGGAGACGGGGTAAAGAATCTGTATAGGAAAAAAAATTTCTCTACCTTTCAGGCCTAAGAAGGGCACCAGACAAACCTGTCTGGGAGCATCTCACTACAAGCAAAGTACAGGAAAGAGAAAGGAGCATGGGAGCATCAGCGTCCTCCAAGAGGCCACGCACTGAGGAAAGGCCTCGGGCCAGGGCCAGGGCGGTGACAGCTGCCCGGAGAGCAGAGGACGGAGGTCTCAGGAGGTGTCTGCCTGCAACAGCAAGAATCCCGTGTGACACCGGCGGGGAGCCTCTGGGGCCCGGCAGGGTGAGGTCACCTGCATGCTGGGAGGCAGGTGGGGAATCTCCTTCCGTGTTAGAAAAGCTCTCTCCCCTAGTCCCCTGACGCAGAGAGCCAGGGGGTGTCGAGGCCTTTGCTCAGCCACGCCGTGGACACACTTAGCATTTCTTTGGGTACCAGGAGACAAACCCATGGAACGGGGCTGGTGCTCACAGACTTGGCTCGGCTCTCCAAACATTTCAGTGTAAGCCCATCTCTACTTATAACAAGCAGCAGTCTGTAAAGGGGAAGGCCAGCCGTCCTTATCTGTCCAGCAGCTGCTTTAAAGCCCTTTCTATGTTCATCCTGTGCCCGACTCGAGTCACCCCAAGGTCTATCAGGTCCTCCTTCTGAAGGTTTGGCAGGTGACTGCCGTCGATCTCATTGTCCATGAAGGTCTCCTTATGTTCACCCAAGTTCAGACTTTCTAGCCAATCTGCCACATCTGGCTTAGTCCACAGGTGGACAGGTTTAGTTGTAAAAGGCTTATTTGAGATTGGCTGTTGGAGTATTGATGGAGAGGGCGACCTGCTGCGTCCCGCGGGGTTCAAGCCAAATAGGTCCCCGGAAGGGGGCTGGCTGGGAAGGCTGAAGACGTCTGCGAGAGTGGGAGGGGACGCGGCGGCAGCGGACGGAGGGGCGGGCAGGATCTCTTTGCTCAGCTCTGTTGGTGAGACCACAGGGCTGGGGGCACGTCTGGTCCCTGAGGTCCTGCTTTCGTAGTCAGGAGGCCGGCTCTGCAGGGTGATGGGCTGGGAGGTGCCAGGGCGAACAGTGAAAGTGACTGTCGTGCTCCGTGTACCTGAGACTGTGCTCATGATCTCCGGGCTTCTGAAACAGCAACAGAGAAAACCATCACAAGCCAGGTCACCAAGTCAGGCCAACAGGATGCAGACCACCAAGGAAGGGGAGGAAGACACTCAAACCACACCAGAATGTCTAGTGGCAGGTGCACTGGCAGTGAGCAAATGCTTTGCCATGCCAGGATGGGGGCGGGGGAGAAAGGAGCAGGAGGCAGTTCTAGGAAGACTCCAGAGCACACCAAGCCAGCCACTCACCCGAACCCAGGACAGGAGCAGCTGGGGAGAGGTGAGGGTGGCCAGCAAGTCACATGTAAAGGCTCACTCGGGCCAGGCATGAAGACAGGGCCAGAGTGAAGTCCTGTCCCTGGGAGGATCATGCCTGGTGACATCACCAGTACCTCTCGAGGAAGTGGCCTGCCTCCATTTCAGCAGGTAGAAGGGAGAGCACGTTGAGGAGAGACCCTCTCTCTCAAGCATCTGGCAGTCCTCCAGCTTTTTGGCTTAAACAGACACGTGCAGGGAAGGATGCTTCCCAGGCTGGCCCTGTTTCATTAACTGCAACCCCCACAGCTACTTGGGGCACTCACCCACAAACCCAGAGAACAAGAAGTCTGTCAGTTCCGTGTGCACCGAGCTGACCTACTGAGAGGGTTTGCTTTACAAGGTCACACTGTCCCACACTGATGGATGGTTTTGTTGCAGAATGAGTCGGGTGCATTTATGTATTTTGTTTAGCCCCTTTCGTGTGAGAGACTCACTAGGAGGATATATAATCCTTACCAAAAAGCAGAAATACGAAAGGGACCCCGTTTTCCCCAGCAGTGGCCACGAGAGTCCTTGGAAGTCCCCATGTGCCCTTCCTGCTCTGGCTGGGCAGGTAAAGCCCTTGGAGCTGGAACGGGGACAGACCCAAGTCTTCTAGGTGTAGCCTGTGCTGGCCCCAACGAGGAAGTGGGCTGACTCGCCTGGGGAGGTCACATCTCAGTAACGACAAGTCCGTGGTCCGCATGCTCACCTACACGGAGCTGGTCTCTTTATGGGCGGCTCCCTCACTGGTTTTGACTAAGGCCCACGGCAGGCTTTCTGGCTGTCCCCAGAAAAGAACAGCTGCCCCCCAACTGGAGGCATGTCCGTGCTACTGCCCCTGGGAAAGCCACAGCCGCTGGGAGGTGCAGGAGTAGGTGGCTGTCTCTTGCCTTTCAAGCGTGTCTACATGCATGTGGGTGGACCCCACCTCTCCTGGAAAGATCCATCCCACCACAAGTCCCCCTCAGGGTCCGGACTTGAGAGATGGCTGTTGGAGTCCTGGCTGTGCCAAATACCAGCTTAGGCACACTTATAGCCCACATGTCTCCATGTCTCCATGTCTAAATGGGCTCCTCTCCCTCCCCTGGTGGGACAGCCTGGGTGGAGATGCTCTGGACAACGTGAGGGACGGCACAGGGGTGATGGACGTTATGACTATGAATGACAGTGGACTCTGCGATGTCTCAGCGACAGGGTCATGGGTGAGAGGACAAAAGGAAGGGATGCTGGTGTGCGGGGAGACCCTGAGGACAAGTCCCTGGAGCCCAGGACTTCTGCTGTCAGACAGTGCCATCAACTTGCATTGTGATTGTGTTCGGAGATTGACAGCTGACCAGTTAGAGAACCATTGCTTGAAGAGAAGCCCAAAGACCCTTCATCAACCCCCCGTGAGAGACTGGTGGGGTGTGAGGGGTCCTGAGTCCATCTCCAAGCTGCTGAAACAGCACTGCTGGGGAGAGGACCCCCGTGAGCTTTGAACCCCCTTGGTCAGGCACTGGTCCCAGTCCAGGGCACCAAGAAGCTCCTGGGCCAGAGCCTGCACGGGAGCTCAGCGGAGGGGCCAGCGGCAGACAGGCCGTGCTGCTGCTCGGTTCGCTTGTCTCTTTCTGTCCTTTCCTTCTGCTGTTTGCTGTCTTTACTACCGATGTGTATGCATTTGGTTAAAACCACCAACTGGCTACTCAGGCGCCTCTGAGCCTGTGACCTTTCTCACTGGTGTCAGCCATTGTTACTTCAAGTATGGAATATTCCACGGTGAGAAAGGAGGAGCGGGCCTGTGCCGTGCATGGACCGGGCTTCAGTCCTGCTGTGAGAAGTGTCTCCAGGGGTGGGTGGTGCACAGTGCTGGGCCAGGACACCCTCCACCCACAAGGTGTTCATATGCACTGTCCTGGAGGGCTGGGTGCCCAGAATGGGGTTTGTTACAGCAGGGTACCCCCAGTGGTGATTGGTTTTCCTGGTTCCTGGTTACACCCACAGGTACAAGGCAGCCCAGGTGAGACTGAGGACTCCACTTCTGCCAGGCTCAGTTACTCCGAATCAAACCGCTGGAGCCCAGCTGGGCTTCACATGCAGGGGAGAGGAGCCAGCACCCTCTGGTGTCTAGAATTAGGGTCTCCAGAGAGAGGTGGGCTGTAGACACAGTGAGGATGTAAGAGGAAACCAGCAGCGCCCCCGCCACCACCTCCCTGCCCGAATAGAACAGAAAGGCCCACTCCCAGTTCCCACTTGAGCAAAAGGCAGCGCTTCCAGACGGCTGGTCACCGTGTCCGCTCCACAGCCTGCGGCACCCGCGTCTGTTTTGGGGAAGGCTCATTTTTTCCCACTTTGATAGCTAACTAAGATGGTAGAAATAAAATTAGGAGAAAGTATAAAAACACTCAATTCAGAGGTGATCTGAGTGTTAATTAGGGCCAAGCACCTTTGGCGAAGAGGTAATTTTTTGGTCAAGTGGGAAAACATCCTACAAGGACACATTTCCTCAGGTGAGACTCGGGGGACGGGGTCCGGATGTGCTGTCCCTAGAGCTGACTTTGCTCGGTGGCTGTGCCTGTGACCTGCCGTGGGCTCAGCACGCAGCACACTGGGGGAGTGACCTTGTTGCTCATTAGCTCGTGAAGCTCAGGCCTGAGAATCCCCCAAAGTGATGTCACCTGCCTTAAACCGGGGCAGTGTTTGCCAGGGGGCATCTCTTACCCAGGGGATGGGCGCCCACTCCACCCTCACCGTGGAAAGAGCCTGCCGTTCCCAGGGAGTGGGGCTCTGTTCTGTTTGTTTGTTTGTTTAAGGAAAGGCTCTGTAGGCAGCTGTGCTTGTGGCCAGGAGGTGAAGAGGAGGCTCCTGAAACCCTTGTGGGCAGAGCGGGAGGCAGTGCACACACGCGGTCACGCGCATCTCCGCCGGGCACTTACTTGGGCTCAGCACGACCCTCTTCTGTTATCACCCATCACGGGAGCAAATGAAAATGACAAAATGGAATGGCTTGAGACAACACTGCAAAATTAACTAAAAAGAGAAAAACAGCAGCTTCTTTCGACGGATGCAGGGATAGCAGGGTGCAGACCCTGGCAGCCACAACCCCTGCCCAGAATCATGAAAACCAACAGGGGTGTCGCTGTCACGTGCAGATGAGAAGGTCACAGCCTTGTTTCTTTGCCTTGGGAGAGCGAAAATCACTTATAAAGAAGGAAAATATTCAGGGAGGATTTGTTAAGAAAGAGAAAACAGTGGTACTGGAATGATGTTAGCCTCTGCCTGCTACTCAGGCTTCTGAGCCGTCTTCTCTTCCGTGGCTTGGGAAGGATAATCCAACATTCTCCATGGGGGAGGCCACCCCTCGACACCCCTGGGATGAGGGCTTTGCTTTAGGTCTGCACCGTGAGATGACAGCTAATGACGTCAGCTAATGACGGCAGCATCACACCTGCCACGTGCTTGGGTCCTGCCAATGCCCCTGCCCCATGGCTGCAGAACAGAATCACCAGAGTTTGAGAAGGGGAGCGAGGGCCTGCCCGCGGCTGCCCACCCTGCCCTGCTCCTCTGAAGCTCGACTCTCGCTCGCTCAGTGAATCACAATGACATTATTCACTGGTCCCCCCGGCTGCACAGATCGTTAGGTTGCTAAGCAACCGCCGGGCTCCCGGGCGGAGCGCACAGGAATCTGTGGGCCTGATCTGGAGCACACACTCACGCCGCGCCCCTGGATTACCACCCTAGCCTGCCTTTTAAATCAAACCCATAAAGAAACATGAGAACTTAAAAAAATCGAGAGCTGTTGAGACGCCCGAGGCACACTGTTGTCTGGTCAGTCAGCAGTTACTGGGTGAGGGGCACACACGCACGTGCTTTTCAGTGTCTACAGATTCAGCTCGGCTCCTGAGCAGGAACTGGACGTGGGCCAGAGGCTGCTCGGGGGCACCAGGGACAGTGCTGCCCGTCCCTGATGGGCTGCCTGCCGAGGGCCCGCCTCTGGCACTGGGGCTCCGAGTCCTTTAGGCTTAAAACTGCAGCACGCCCGGCCACACCGCTGCATTTTTGTTCCTGTGGAGTTTTAGTGACGAGCCCCCATCTTACATGCAAAACGGCACTATTTCCAAACTGCTCGCTCTCTTTTATTTTTTTGGTGGCTGGCTGCTGCAGGGATCAAACCCTGGACCTTGGTGTTATCAGCACCACGCTCTAACCAGGCAGCTCACTTACCAGGCAGCCCCTCTGCTCTCTTGCTAAGTTACTCTATCTGTATAGCTTCCCGGTAAGTGGGGCATTGAGAAGACAGATAACCAGGGCCACCAAGTCATTAACTAGTTTACTCAAGGCCATGGGCGTTGGGACTGCAGTCAACGCCTCTCACTTGGCCGGTGCTCTGCACTGCACATGTCCCAGTGGGGACGTACTGATGCTTCCGGGGACTTAGGCTGCATCAGCAGCCGCGGGCTCTCAGTACACTGACTGGGTCCTGGTCGTCTGTCTTCAGTCCTCAGGGCCTGGCCCAGGAGAGGGGCACAATCAACCATTGTCCAATGAATGGCTGATGATATTATACCCGTTTCCCAGATCGGAAAGTTAAGTGGCTTGACCAAGATTCCAGAGCCAGACCTAGGAGTGGGTTGGGCTCCCTGGGGTTCAAGACCTAGGGGTGGGGTGGGCTTCCCGGGGTTCAAGACCTAGGAGTGGGGTGGGCTCCCTGGGGTTCAAGACCTAGGAGTGGGGTGGGCCCCCCGG